CCTCTGCCCCTCACGGAGGTAGCCCCAAATCCGGGGGCTCCTCTGCGTCCAGCCCCCGCCGCCCCGCAGGGGCACAGCCCCGTCACCCCGGCAAGGGCCGCCGCGGCAGCGCGCGGGGACGGGGTGACCTTCCGTAGAGCGCTGTTACCACTGGCCAGGTGATCGCTTTGGGACTTAGTCTGGCACTGTAGTTCTTACCCTGAAAGCACACGCATAATTCCAAGCGCCGTCTCATGAAACGTCCTACAGAAAAGGACGGTCGTTTCCCCGAGCAATGCAGGACGGGGCACAGGCAGGAACGTAACGCACGTTTCCACGCGTATTTTCCCCTATGTGGTGCAGCTCGTTGAGCTCCTCGGCACTGCTGGCATGATCAGCTCTGTTCTGAACTTGGGGCGTCAATAACTCTTACCAAGACTGATGGAAGAGAAGTGTTAATGTCCAAATAACCACCACAGAGTAAGACAGGCCTTTCTTTTATCCTTCCACAGGCCTTATTATGTTGACAGAGGGAACTGAAAAGTATCTCGCGCTTGCAAACCTAGCTAGAATTTGACTGATGTGAACACAAAGCTTAATCCAAAAAGTACGCAGAGATATTCTAACTTCAAATACATAAAATGAAGAGGGAAGAATATATGAGCCACGCTCTGTGCTACTGTGCTTGACTTCAGTGAAAATATCCCAGAAATTAATCTAGAAAAAACAAACCAGTCAAAGGACTGACAGGGAATAATGGAAGAGAATTAAGAACAGTAGTGCCAAGAAAGCGCGAAGCTGAGAGCAGACAAAAATTCACAGTAAACAGATCTGCATTGTGACAGGCGCTTCCCCGTGGAGAAGGTGGGGCTAGCATTGTGATGAGGTCTTCATAGCCCAAACACTGCAAAAGTGAGAACTGGAAAACTCCTCAAAATGAAAGTGAAATTATTTCATTTTCGTTGTCCAAGTCCACAGAATAAACAACGGCAAGGAAGTATTTTTTAATACTTTAAGTTTAGTTAGAGCAATTCAAAGTGTTATTGCTGGCATAAGTAAGAAACATATAGAATAAGAAGCTTGCTTACAATACTACTTTTAAACTCCTGAGTCCGTTTAACATTATGGCTAATTTCTACTTCCAAGTTCCAATGCCTACAGGATAAAATTCTTGGAAAGATGCAAATGCACCCCTCCTTAGCAAACCGTATAATAAAAGAGCAAATACAGATAATAGGTTTCTGATTAGAAAATTTGAACTGGGATGGAATTAGTGCCGTACCAGGTATGCTGATAGTGAGGATGTATCATACTTGTAGGTACATCTTTGCAAAACAATCTTGAACAAAATTATTGAGCTATATTAGCTTTTGATATACGCTGTCTGGTGGCAGGGCTGGGTTACTTTGGTGCACAGTAAAACAGTCGGCGAGATGGCTGCTTACGGGGATTTC